TTTTGCCAACCTTGCGCCGGACGGGGGACACGGCGTTGAACTTCGGGACTGATGCAAAGCGCAGTGAGCAGAATTAGAAGTTATCGGCAGATCAGCATCCACACGCTTTCGAGATGCGCATGCAATCAGAACTTTTGCAACACTTGCGCTTTTCCAGTAGAGCAGCGTTGCTCAACACGGAGTTTAGCCCTTCAGGTTCCCGCAAAAGACTTGGACGTGATCAGGGAGAAGTGGGAGGCGCGGAAAGCGGGCGCCGTGCTGAAAGTTACTTGGAGTGCTGACAATTGATAACACGGTCAATTCCCTGCCACAGCAGACGCCGTCCCGCACATTTGAGCGGATCCAAGCATCGCATGGTCGAACCTTTATATGAACCTTTCCCACATGTCGCAGGATGTTTGTGACTAGCTCATAATGAATTGGTCAGCGATGGTGAGTGCAGATTTGTCTTCTGACTGGGGCGGAGGTCGTTTTGCTACATGTGGCCTTGCGCAGAAGGAGCGAACGAGCGCTCTGCTTTCATCAGGCCACTGCGCCCACCGAGGCAAATTTGTATATTTGAGGGCTCGGCCGCTGTTCACGGTGAGATGAACACCCTTGTCCCTGTTTGTGCCGGGAGTTCGACGGCCATTCGCCGCCATCACCGAAAAATCCGCCTTGTCTACCTTGTCACTTGCCGGGGTCGACCACACATGTGCTATTTCCTAAATTTTGGAGGGAGTCAATCACACCGTGTGATTCGTGTGGTGATCCACCTTTGGGTCATCCTCGCAAATTCACAATTGGCATGAGTTCCTTTCAGGGAACGCGCACCGATCCAAATGAATTAGACGTGTTGACCACGGCACATGTTGCGCCGCTGGTTTTGAGCGGCTGATGACACTTCGGTGGCAAGAGTTGGTCATATGATTTAGGGCGCTGCAGAAAAGGGCTCTAGGTATATTATGGAAACGACAGGCGTAAAAGACTGCCAGACTGTTGTCCAGTAAGCGACAAAGACTTCCACTCTGCGACTCTTAGTTGTAGAACTGAAGCCCATTCGCAGACCTAGTTTGGATTGATTAGCCCTGTCTCTGCGATCCACACATACAGAGTTTGGATTGCAGGTCAGAGCACGCCCTGGTCGTATACCCCAAAAAGTTTAGATGAGGATACGAACTGGTTTGCTGACATCTTGCAGCTTTGAAAAGGATGACAATTGGCAGGCCTTGCCTGCAAATGGCAACAGATCCCTGAAGTTGCTTGGCTCTCCCTTTAGTTTCAGAATGTTTCACATTTGTCATGAATGCCGACATAGTGGCCGTGCCAGAAAACAACACATGGAAGTACAAGCAGGGTTGTCAAGAATCAGGCTGCATTCAGCCTGACAAACCATGGGGCACCCACCACCCACCCCACCCCACCCCACACCACCCCACCCCAGCACCACTCACCCCACCCCCACCCCACACCACCCCACCCCAGCACCACTCACCCCACCCCCACCCCCACCCCACCCCACCTGCCAGGCCTCTGTGAAGAGCTGCGAGCGTCGCGGCGAGGTGCAGGGTTTCAGCAGCGGTCAGAACCCACAACATGGCAATAGTCAAAATGTGCCAAAATAATGCAGGTGTTTCAGCCACAACCATCAAGCCCGTTATGTAAAACATGAGTCAAGGGTTTCCGGCTGTCAATCTTGTGGAGGGAGGAGGTTTGGTTCTGGGTCACAGCTGAAAACCCGTGGTTTGGTTTGCGCACTTTGGTGTGCTCGGATTGGATTTGCCATACTTTGCCAGTCGGGCGAAATTCGGAGGGAATTGGAACGATTCCTGATAGTCTCGCAAACGAATCTACAGGTTTTCCACCACACTTGTTGGAACGCTTGTTTCATCACGAACGCTAGCTGTGCTAGTAGGAGCTCTCTAAGCTTTAGCTTCTCTCAGGGTTTGGGGGGGTGGGGGGGCCCGACCTCCCACCCCTCACAAGGGCTCGGTTCCCCCTGTCCCGCCTCCAGCACGAGCGTATTCCCATAATCTCGTCCACAAGAGCGGCGTCCAAAACCTCCGTGTACATTTTTTAGTAAGGGCGTGTCATATCGACCTGTGCGTAAGAAAAACTCCACGCGCTCACGGCGGCGTAAGCTGGTGGCGTCAGCAAAACCTCGACATGTGTCGCGTAAGGAGAAACTCCACGCGCGCAAGGTGGCGTAAGCCAGTGGCGTAAGCAAAATGATACGGCATATAGCAAATCATGACACGTTTAGGACGTGGCTCACATGTTTTCAGCTGGGGAGTCTGTGTTTCTGGAAAAAACATAGTCTTAATATATTAGCAACTCCTGAGTCGTACATGTGGTTAATGGGCTGGCCGGCTAGCTTCGTTCACCTGCCTCTCAAGTCATGAGTACGATTTGTGCAATTCGGGCACTCGGCATCCCAGGGTGAATTCTATGTTGGTGCCTGCATGCCTCCGTTTGCCAGCGTCTTCGATGATTAACGTGCTTGCATAACATTTCATGATGCAGACTGAGCTCATGCATGCGTAGGCTCGCTTTGCCAAAGTGTGCCGGCAAACAAACCAAAACAAAAGAAGGGTTTTGTGGTCAAACATGGAAACCAAACCTGGACATCAGAAACCAAAATGACCAAATGGTTTTGCTTCTAAACGGAATGCGTTTTACCACTTAGCCGCGGCATTGGTCTCGGCCGCCGTGGACCGGAGGCGCTGGTCTTCTTTCTGAACCTCGCAAAGGCTCCGATTTTTTTCGGAGCGGCCACGGGGTCTCCGTCCCTTGGCGATTCTTTGTCAAGGATTCCAATCAAAAAAATGGGAGAAGTTGTGAAGGGCTTTTCCCCGCGCGCGTTCCGTTTCAGCCCTGGCAATTTGAGTAAGCCATCCCTCTCGGCTGCACAAAGATATCCCTTCGACGGACGGTCATACTGGGCACCGCTTGCAGCCCTTCAGTCCCCCAGTTATTCTCTTGGCGCAGATTATTAAATACCCATGCAAAGACGGCTGATCAGGGACTAGAGGGTTGACTTATGAGACCAGCACTTTCCCGAACTTGTTGAGTCTTTCGTGACTCTCCCGAGTTATGCCTCGGGCTTTGGGCCCTAAGGCTTCCGTTCCGAGGGACATGGCGAGCCCCACAAAGCGCGAAGCAGTCAGCAGCGCTGCTTGACACGTGGGTACATACGTGATATGCATTTGCATGTATGCGGCAGCTGAAACACGACGCATACACAGTACGCACATACAGCCAAGTGTACATACTTGCAGACGTGCATATTGCATAAATATGTATATATATATGTATATACGCCCAGGACGGATGGTTTGCCGTCGGCTCCAATCTTACTACATTTGCCACGCATCCCAAACCATATTTTCACGCGTTCAACCAAGGCAAATGCTCTGCCGCCAAGAATGCTAAGACACAGCCTAAACAAACGAGCTGCAAAGCAACATGTTTAAACATCAAAGCTGAACATGCATTCGAGTAACAGCGACCTTCTGTCCGGTGACCCTGAAACCTTCATGGCCTTGGACCCAGCTGAGCGGGAAGGAGGCGTGTGGGGACTCTGCTCAACAGTCTGTGAAGGCTGCGAAGGTTTACCAACAGCGGAGGCCATCGTGCTGAACATAGCTGGCAGCACCCGGTTCCAAAGAACATAGACAGCAGCTGCCACTGCGGGCCCCGGCTGCGGCCGTCTGAGCATTTCCAACTGCCAGTAAAACCGAAGCACGTCCAATGATGGCTCTAAAGCAGAAAACCGATGATGCCCCCTGGTCTCCAAAGATACGGTGTGCTGCACGAAGTCATCGATGCTATTCGTAGGAGCTGCGAAAGACAATACCTGCCAGCTCCCGATTTGAAAAAACACTTGTGATCCTAATTCATACCGAAACAGGACCACACAGGACTACATGTGTTCATTTCTGCCAAAACAGGCCTGATGAAATTCGTCAAGTTCCTGCAGCGGGCAAAGGAAAAACTGGCAACAGAGCGTAGAGCTGGAGGGACATGCTGCACTCGCCATCCACAAAGACGCAGCAACATGATGATTGCCAAGAAATTCAACCAACGACATGTGCAGAGGGGTTAGAAGCAAAGCCCATAATGACTGCGGAGCACATGTTGCAAAACGTGCGAAACGTGGCAAAGCGAGGCTCAAAGCTCGCAGTCGACAAAGCACAACATTACCCCCCCCCCCACACCTCCCGTTGAGGCGCCGCAGTAACTACCGCAGTCAGTGACGGTCAACCAGCCGTGCTGCGGGTATATATATATATACACACATAATACACGCGTGATTTCCTGCACGAATGCATGCACATGTGCATGGCATGCACATTCACATACACGCATACACGCGCATGCATGAGTACATGTGCTCCTTCAATATGATCATATCGCGCGCTTAAATCCACACCTCGTTGTATGTTGCCTTGGCTTGCACAAGTTGTGCCAGGCATCCTTTTCAAGCAAGCAACAGCACTTGGCAATTGCTACCGAGGTGCTGTATTGAACAACAAAGCAATGGAAAGATAAGCACACTCGATAACAGCGTCCCCGCCACCCAGCAAAATGGTCATGGGAAAAAAACACAACACACATGCGCTTAAATGATGAGACATCTACTGGCTTGTGTTTGTTGTTTGCTTGAAAAGGATGCCTGGCACAACTTGTGCAAGCCAAGGCAACATACAACGAGGTGTGGATTTAAGCGCGCGATATGATCATATGTTGGCTTGTGTAGAATAGTCTTGCTCAGGTCTTCAGAACTGATCTGATTTGGGTAGGCGGCGTGCAACACCAAGTATGTTCCTTTTCCTTGGAAGCATAGTTGTTCATGGCTTCACATGAAGCAGCTTGCTTGGTGCAGTACTCAATGCCTCCTTGGAGGTGTTCCCACAAAGTAAAAGCTGCGCTTAAGATCTGACATGATTTGGCTATCCCGCTTGATGAACTATATCGTACTTCACTGAGTTTCCATCATGGAAGATCACTGAGTCGTTCATGCCCTGGCTTTGAATGTGAGAAAGCAGCGGCCCATCCGCAAATTGTAGTGCCAGACAAGCGTTGAGGGACCAAAAGAAGCGCAAAACCATGGGAGATTCCATACTCGCCATGAGGGCCTCAGAGGTCACATCGCCTGCGAGAAGGTCGCCTGCTGAGGGTTGAGTCAATCTCTTGAAATTCCCACATCCCAAAGGGGCTACGTGGAAAGTAGGGATTGCTCGGGTGTGATGCTGGTGATTTTCTGTACGATCATTCCGGTTCTGTCAAGTTCCTGCGGTCTCTCCATCGCAAACTCAATCCCAGGGTCAAGGTTCCTTTTCCTGGAGCCTTTTTGGGGACCCTTGGGTCCATGTTCTGCAGGCGAACAAGGTCGCTGGCCATGCCTACGAGATGCCCTTCCCCCACTATATCGTGGCCGCTCGGGGCTGAGCGGGTTCGCTGAAAGCGTCTTGTGGTTCCCCAGCACTTTAAAGAGAACCAGAAATGGAACACCTGTGCCTGCGGGGCTAGTGGAGGGGCGGTGGGGGGGTGGGGTCGGTAGCAGAATTCCGTGTGGTGTGTGTGTGTGTCTTTTGTATTGTTTCTCTCTTCTTCTCTCTCGAAAGCCAGGACGCATTCAACGTGGATGCTCTCAGAAGGGAGCAACATGGCGTTTCAACAACAGTCAAGACAGAGACAGTTTTGTATGTGAGCAAACCCATTGCTAGGCGTCTTAAAAGCAGTTTGCCCTGCTCGCTTCAACCAAGCACACCACACAGTGTTAGGTGTGGTTCCTGAAATTGCAGACCTAAAAAGCATGCCTCCTTGGCTTGCATTTCGGTTTGTTTCGTGAAATTGGTCAGGGGATATGGGCTGCACTCAATGGGTTTCGCCTTGAACCAAAGCACAAGTTTGTATCGTCTTAGAACCTGTTTGTTTGAACCCATTGAACCGGTCACCCAAATTGCGGGTGTGCTTTGATTCGCTTCCCAGGCCCCTGGTGCCCCTCATTCCTATTTGGAGGAGTTGCCCATTGGTCAACTACCAAAACCCGTGAAACGCATGGGCACTGGGGCGCGACCTCAGGACGAAATTGGCTGGCGCCCGAAGCGGTCGACGCGGGGCCTCCCAGATCCGTGGAACACAATGCTGGGATATGTCTCAAGATCGGGGACCCCAATTGCCTTTGTTCGTTGCCATCCTTTTACGCCAACCTGCAAAAAGGCAACCTCGAAACAAGAATAGACTGCTTTAAGGGGCAGGGAGGAATGCAAGGGGATGGATAAACAAACACTGACGTGTTTTTTTCTTATGGTTATGTCTTGGTTTTGGCTATGTTCGGTAGCCCAAGCCGCAGTTCGAATGATTTAGGCCTTCGTATGGATTTAGGTTGCCACTTTCTGTGCTACCCGTAAGGAATGCCCTTCAAAGTCATCAAGTAGTCATGGGAATGAACCTAGGTAACATGGAAGGGGTTGTTTTCCACAACCATGAACACTTGGTTATTTTGAGTATAGAACATCGGCATAAGTCATGCGCCGATCACTGTAGTGAATGACCAAGGGGGTCCGGCATTCCTTCAAAACTAGAGCAAGCAAGACAAGTGGCATTCGCTTTTCGGACCCGAATCATAATATTTGTGCAAATTGTACTGAGCTCCCCATTTTTTGACCCAGCGAGCTCACTGGCCGGGCTCGGTATTGCGCCAACTTCACGGATGCAACAACCAGTGAGGAAATGGATCCAGCGAAATGGCTGGAAATGGACCAAATGCCTCACCGCGCCAAGCCGGGTCTTCAGCACCCCTTGGTTCCAGCGGGTGAACCAAGTATAATCATAGTAATTTGTGCGGGTCTATTGGTTATGGTTGAACAGTCTGCCGCGCAAACAGCAAACACACACACACACACTACAAGAAGCAAGCTCGATTGAGTTACTTGGATTCCGGCTCGGGACGTGACATTCTCAAGTTCTGAAGACCACACTATGCTTTGTTGCATTTTGCTTGGATGTTAGGACTTTAACGTTTTGCCAACTAATGGGTGTTCCCATTAAACCACTAAAAGTTGAACTTTTAGCAGGGGAGCAGAAAGCAACCAAGTATAGAAAACCGAAGCCTCTATGAGGTGCGTCTATGCTGCATGAGCGCAAGGCTGAAAATTGCAAAAATCCTGACCTGTGGTTGCTTGCAATAGGGATATATACATATATATATATATATAGATGTCAGCCGCTGTCAGCCCATGTTGCAAGCTTTACCAGAGGATTCCTGAGACGAAGCACCTTGTTCCCATCCCAAGGCTTACGCCTTTGGCAGGGTCCATCCACCGGTGGACTAAGCAGATTGCCCGAGCCGAGTCAGGGTAGGTCACCCTTTGTAAGGAGACTTCCATTCATGTGCCCGAGCACGCTCGTTGAACGCTCGTTCCTTTTTGGACCAGCGAAGGTCGCGACACCGTGCGATGTGCACAGCCGATGTTGGAACGGAAAAGGTCGATGCCTTCACCGGCCCTTCGGTAGCATTCAAACGCAGGAGGCAAGCCATTGCTAGCACCGGAGGCAGTGTGTAAGCATTCGAGCGGCAAAGCTGAAAGTGAGAGCAAGCCAGACATGTCCTCGGATGACATGTGGGTTTATCTCAAATCAGGGCTCCTCTATTTGGTGGACACCCACTTGTCCATTTCGTCAGCGGGGACCCACTTGTCCATTGCGTCAGCGGGGACCCTCTTGTCCATTGCGTCAGTGGGGGGGGGGGCTAAATCTTCGGCCCGGTTGAACCGGTTCAAGTGGTTCAACCGTGCCAACCGGTTCAGCTGTTTCAACTGGCTCAACTGGCTCAGAGATTGTCTGGTTAAACTGGCTATGATGATGATGATGAGGATGATGATGATGATGATGATGATGATGATGATGATGATGATGATGATGATGATGATTCTGATGATTCTGATTGCAGGGTGTCGCAACTAATATGTGCCAAAAGTTGCCCGAGTCTACGCGGCTGGCGTGCGCCTGATAGCGGAAGGGACAAGGAGTGTCGCAATAGCTGGTGAGTGCGCCAGGCTGTTGCAACTTATACGGCCAAAAGTTGACTGAGTCTACGCGGCTGGCTTGCGCCTGGTAATTAGGAGTATTGCAATAGTTTGTGATTGCAGCTGTTGCAAGTAGTGCGTGCTGAAAGTTGCTTGAGTCTACGCACTTGCGGCGGATAGCTGAAGGGACGAGGTAGTAGCTTGTGGTAGCATCGGACTGCTGCAACAGCTTGTGACTGCATCAGGGTGTTGCAACGAGTATTTGCGAAGAGTTGCCGGAGTCTACGCTGCTGTCTTGCGGATGATAGCGGAAGGGACGATGCGGCTGCGTCGTCAGGTTGCAAAGCTTCCCGTGCGAATATACCCATGATTATCATGATTTGACAATGATCCAAGCAGGAATGACTTTTACCACAACCTTTTCTGTGGAAAAGGGGGTTCGGCGGAGGGTGCTATGTAAAACTGACCCCCGGTTGTAGTTTCCAGATCATGCATAAAACCAAAGACCGCATTTGACATCACACGCCGCGCTCTCTATAAATTATGCTTTCGGGCCGCCGTCCTTCTCGTTAGTGTTTCTGCAGCCGGCCCCCTGTGTGGATTCCCCCTTTTTGGTGGAACCTTTGCTCAGTGAACTCATCGACGTCACGTGACTTGTCCCTCCCAAATGGTTGGAGGGATCAAGAGTGGCGAGTCGGTAGAAAGGTAAGCGATTCCCCCGTTCACCAGCCGTTCACCAGGCCCCGCATGATTCATAGATGCTGCGCACGAGGATGGGAACGAGCTAGAGCATGTGGATCACTTGGCCAGCTGAGGCAATTCAAGCCAGTTGAACTGGTTGAAGTCAACTGGTCTAACCGGTCCAACCGGTTCAACTGGGTCAACTGGTTCAACTGGTTCTGCCTGTCAACTGGTTCTGCCTGTCAACTGGTTCAACTGGTTCAAGAGGTACCCATTATTTTCCGACCTTCCATGCCGACGCACTCTACTTGTCGTCGGATGCTCCTTTTGGCAGGCCTTTATATCCGGGCTGCCAGTTGAACTTGTGCCATGTATCCATCATTGGTTACCACAGTTTTGCATTGAAGCAGAGGTCAGTGCAATAATTGAGAGCGGAAAGGCAAGCAACAACTGAACAGATCACGTTTGTTAGGGGTTCCCCTGATTCGACACATAGCCATGTTGCTCTTCAGCTTGAGGCTGCAGCTCTTCACAGTGGACAGCTCCGGGCACTTCCATCCCTTGGGCTGCAGCCCTGGGGCGTGGCTTCCCTTTGGGAGGGTCCTGATGTCCTTTAACGCCAAAAGCTTCCAATATTTTTTGGACTCCATGCAACGCTGTCGCTGCCTGCAGGACATGTTGTTGGTTCCTCGACGTTTAGCTCTGGTTTCAGCGCTGGGTCTTAATTTGTTCTGTTTACAACCTGAGAGAGGCGTTGCTGCCTTCATCGGCGAAGGCCCGGCCCACAGTGCCCACTCCTTCATTGCAGAGCATGGAGATGGGGCCTACAGCCACTGGCGTGTGGGCCTTGGACGAAGTAGAACCAGGTGTCGGCCCACAAGATGTTGTGTGGTTTCCAAGTAACTTGGAACTTGATGTGGGCATCTCTGATGGATCAAACATTGAGAATGCATTGAGAGGCAGCCGGAAACCTAAACAAAAAGAAGCCGCCGGAAGTTGCAGCAAGATGCAATCCGGCAGCCCCAGGGATGGGCTATAATTGCTGGGCGTGTGTTTACAAGATGTCTTATCTATCGGCTATTCCTTGAAGAGTGTTAGATGCAGCGTAGGAGAAGTGGCTGAGATGAGAAATCAAGGATGCCCTCTCATGGAGTTGGCGCAGGTAGGTTGTTTTTTCAACAAAAAACTGGATGCAAGTTGTGATTTCACCAGTTCTGCCTTGTTGCCCCTGCCCCACTTGCCTCAAGCCAAAGTCTGATTCGCTTCTTGACAATTATCCCCTGGTTCAAGTAGCTAACCCGCGAAGACAAATTGAAAGCCCAAGATGATGCCACATGCGCCTATTTTATGGCGAGCTCACCTGGGGGTTAAAACGAGCTCACTATGATAAAGGCCCTTTACCTGGAGTTTCCTTAATTCATCTTTTGGAATTATAGTAGATGTTGCAGGTTGTATGTTATCGTGAGTAGACATCATGTTAGAACCCAGAAGGAGTTCGGACAGTCCACATGCTGCTGGGATTCCCGGCGTGGTGACAATCTGCAATTTTGCAATACGTCTTTCTACAGACAGCCTATCATTTTGCAAGGTTCAACACTCGTGACAGTATTTTGTTGTATTTGTCTAAACAGACAATCACGATGTGCACAAGACCAGCAAAGATATGCAGTTGAAGAGAACCGTGTGGCACGCTTGAAGCTTGCTAGGAACAGAAAACGCATGCTTGCAGATGTTGATCAGTCCCTACAGGTGAACTGAACATTGTTGCTGGTTTTAGCGCAAGCACTCACGCCGCATGCAGCTGAAGCACCATGTGATGCTCAGTGATCCAAACCCGACCTTGTTTCTCCTTTCGCTTCGGGTGTGTGATTCTGTTTTGTCATGGCCACAAACGCTGATTAGTTTTCGTCTGGTCCTTTGGGCAAGTGAGGGTTATGTTTTCACATGTGCCTTTGCAAGGGCATCCTCTCAAAGTCCTGGGAAACAGTGTCCTTCTGAGTCAATTGGAAGGACTTCCAACGTTGCTTAGTCCCAAAGCAGCAGCTCTGTTGTCAAACGCACCGTGCACATTGGCTAACCGGCTAGCATGGGTTCCTTCAGCCCCAGCCTGTGTAGGAGCCTGACACTTTGGAGAACTGTCCAGTCGTGGGTCTTAGGTGTTTCCCAAGAATCAGTGGAAACGGTTGGCGTTGGGTTCTGCTTTTAGCACGACGCTGGTCCCCAGTCTAGTTGAGCCGCCTTCGCTTCAAGGCCCAGGCATCACCAACAGCACCTATGGGAAGGCCATGCTCCTGTTTTCCACGCGCGGGCCCAAGTTAGACGAGCGCATGGCAAGCCGCTCCAGACCTCCAATGCCTCTGGTGTGTTCCTTTTCGGGGGGTTGCCTTTAACACACGACCGACAAAAGTGTGCCCCTTCTTTGCCCCATGGCCACTCTGGGGTTGGGGCTTGCAGCTCATTCGGGGTAAGGCAGGTTTCTGATTTGGGTCTGACTTTACACTCCTAGTCAACAGAATGGGGCCAGGGAACACAATTGCTCAGATCTGAATTTCAATCACATGCGTAGCAGGGCCGTGTGGTTTGGTCACCGCCAAACTCACTTGCCTCTTCCTCAGATCACCCCGGGCCTATCGCAACGAACCAGCGGACCATTGGGGCGGATCTGCGGATCATCGGACTGTGGGATCAGCGGATCATGGGATCAGTTCAGTTGCAGTAGGACGGCAAGAGAGCTGGAGGTCTTGGAATTGTTGCCAAATGCTGATTTGAATGGAGATGCGTCAAAAAAGGGGGAAAAACAAACAAATGGTGGTGTTCCTCTTGGTTTCCCCTCAAGCCATCTGAAAATGATACCTTTAACAACACACACACACACAAATGTTTCCTCAAACTAGGCACAGAGAACCCCTGATGCTTGCCTTCCCAATATGCAAGGAGTGGACTTCTTCCGATTTGTTGGGGGCAGTGGGGTAAACTGGCTTGGCTCATGAAAAGCGCACAACAAGGTTCTGGTAGTGGTAATGGAGCCCTAGGGCATCTAGACAAGCATTGTAAGGCTTCCAACAGGCTGGAAACTGGTCCAGTTTTGGAGGAGCTCCAAAACGACGTGTTGTTTCACTGCTTCTGGTAGAATCCTAAGGCAGGAAGTAAGGCTTCCGGTTTTGGTTCACAAAACAACGTGTTGTTTCACTGATCATCTTAAAGAAGCAACTAAGGCTTCCGGTTTTTAAACATCTCGAGCGTGCAAGGCCCCGGAACGTGGCCATCAAGAAGCTGAGCCTGGCCTCCACCTCAGCGCTCCCCAAGAATGCGTTCATGGCTGGAAGGGGGGGTCATTGCCATAGTCCCAAGAAAAGAACAAGCAAGATATGATTGGAAAAGGGCGCATGTCTCATGTCCCGTTCATTTGGACGTTGTTGACATAGCTTGGTCACAATATTGTATAAGGATCATGGGGCACGCTTGTCAAAGCGCGGTTGTTTGTTCATGTTCCACAAAGTGGCTTGTTTGTGGAGTTTGAAAACTTGGGGTTCCAAATGGGAGACAGTCAGTTCAGCATGTGTAAGCTTTGCTTTTCGACCAGTGGTCAATGAATAGTACCCTTTTGTGCGATTTCACGGTTGGGCATAGTATTTGTTAATGACCAGACCTGCGTATTCCTCTTGGCAGCTCAATGGGTGGCAAAGCGTGGGTTCATTCCAAACGTGTTGAGAGTTGTTTTGAAGGCGTCAAGTCACAGCTGAGGGTAAAAAGTGCGTTCGTTCGTAAAAAGTGGGTTCGTGCATGTGTGTGTTTGTGTGTTTGTGTGTTTGTGTGTTTGTGTGTTTGTGTGTTTGTGTGTTTGTGTGTCTGTGTGTCTGTGTGTCTGTGTGTCTGTGTGTCTGTGTGCTTGTGTGTGTGTGTGTTTGTGCGTTTGTGCCTTTGTGCGCTTCTGCGTTTGTGTGTTTGTACGGTTGTGTGTTTGTGTTTTTTGCGCGTTTGTGCGTTTGTGCAAATGTGTGTTTGTGTGTTTGTGTGCCCACAGGGGCCGGGGGTGTCTTGACCCTGCAGGAACTGACTTTGGGGCTTTCAAAGTTGTACCGAATGTCCGAATGCTCAAACCTAAAGGAACGATTTGTTTCATCTAGGCAAAGGCAACCAAAGCTTCACATTGAGTTGCAGTACGAGTGACGGCACAAGCATACTCCTGGAAAACAACCTGGCAGCTTTCCATGGGTCTCCATGCTTTACCGTGAGGGGGGTCTTGAAGTTGGGTGTCATCAAATTGTCACTCAAGATCAGACTGGGGGACACCATGAATATATGGTTGAGTCCTTTCTTTTTTAACTCCCCCCAGAAAAACTGTTAGTTTCCCTTTGGTTTCCTATTAAACCAACCCTGAAAAGGCCGCCATCAAACTCCCGCAAATATATATATATATATATACACATGTATACATATATATATATATATACACATAATATACATACACATAAAATCGGGTCCCACGCTACAGCACTCAGCTAGCGAGTGGAAGGCAGCAGTGGTCTATCCCATGCTCCCGCCCATGGGTTGGATCGAGCTGGCGCCTGAGACACGTGGTTTACCCCCTCAAGGGCGGTGACACCGAAAGGAGCTTCATCTAACTCACTTCCTGAGTTCCTGGACTTTAGACTTTCTGGAAAGACCAGTTTAGTGGCAAATGAAGAGTTTTTATAGTTTGTTTAGCAATCCACTCAGGAAGTGAGATAACGTCAGTCTTTGGACTGTTCCATGTCATTTGCAGGAGAGTTGATGTCCCGCTGTCACGCTGCCATTCGAGTGGCAAGGTAAGCCTCCATATGAATACTATTGTCTCGGAAGAAGTCAAAGGGTGACAGCTGCTTGTTGAAGCACGGCAACGGCAGAAAGGCACTATTACTCTGGTTGTCTTTGTGCTGCGCAACGAACCTTCCCCAACATGTTACGTGCATTTCTCCTTTGGGTACAATAATTGCCCTGGCTGTACAGAGGCCAACATTCACACTTATTGTGTGAGTTCAACTACATCATGTCAATGCATGTGTGTGCGTGTGTATGTTTTGGCAAGTAGGCAAGGTGAATGAACCTCACTTTCAGAGATCGTGGGAAGCACAGCATAAATTGCAAGGTCTGTCTATATGAGTTGCCTGCCATTGCTTTTGCGACGCAGACAACAATGTAAGTAACAACACAGCTTTCTGGTGATGTTACTTGATTTGCTTCTTTCGTCCACCATGATCTCTCGCCTAGAACACAGTAGCAAAAGGCGCTTTGTTCAGACCTTGCCTTGACTGATTACTTGGTGCTTGATGCAGGTTCACCTCTGATTGAGTGCGTACTTCAATGTCTTTTTGTCACGGTCAATTTTCATTGGCACACAGCACACGCATTTCAGCCGAGCTATTTACAGACGGGGGGTGCTTGCAACAATTGCTGCAAGGGACAGGTTTGGGGAAAGCAAATCACACGCGGCGTCGCACACTCCGTTTGCAGTCAAAGAACCCGACACTAATTTGACCCACATGCATCACAACACAATATCTCCGCACATTGTGGAGTCAGGTTTCATGTTCATCAGGCCCATCAGGCATTGGCCAAGCAATCGCATGCAAGTGAGCCGTCTTGCTTGCTACTTGACAAGCTTGATAGGTGTGCAAACGAGCCTCTGGAAAGTTGAGTTTCAAATTCAAGGCGATCAAAGTTGCCCCCCTGATAGGCCTTCCTCCTCCGGGCTCCCCTCAAGTCGACAGCCGGGCCTCGACCTATGACCCTTCAGCTGGCCAGAAATATCGTCTGACTGGGCCGTTGACAGACCATGTTGTTCTTGCGTTCGGTTGTCGAAGCACTAAACGCCCTATCCAGATACCATTCAAAATCCGCGGTGAAAATGAAGAGGGTTCAACAGTGTTAGCTTTTAGACAAACATATCTGCTGGCCTTGCTGAGGTTCAACCAAGGTAAGAAGGTCAACCACGAGGACTGCGAAATGGCAAACGCCTCCGCTGAGTCGAAAATGAGCCAGCTGCTGACGTGTAGGTCGGGCCACTTGTTGCTCACAATTGCAGCAGGTGTTGCAGACAGAGCGAAAGGCATCACAGCGAGATTTGTGCAGGAAGGAGCATGCAAGGCATCATTGGTTTCCACGCGCAGCTCGTCTATAGCTAATTTGGTTGCCCAAGGATATGTTGGTTCGCGTGGCCTGGCCATTTGGGGCCTGGTTGCTTGTTGAGAATGCCGCAGCCCACAGTATGAGGTGTTCCGCAATCAGGGCCCCGGACACGGTCGGCCTTGCTGTTTTGAGTTCTTAGCTCAGGCAAGAGGTTTTGGGTGGTGGACACTGCACAGAGCGTGGAGTCACAAGATTTTGGTTAGCTACTTGTACTGAGGACTACTGAGTCTTCAAGTATGGATGCATGAATGTTTGGATCTTCCTGAAAGTTTAAGAGGTGTTTACAAGAGCATCAACGACAGCAATGTTAGAAAAGACACCATAGCAAACTCTTCTGCTAGCAAGCAGCTCACCACGCACATACATATATGCATGTGTGCGTGCATGCGTACAGGCATACACGCATACGCGCATTACCACATGCACGCATGCACAAATTGCACATTCACACATGCACACGTACACATACCTTGTGTGCACACATACATATACATATTACATATTGCATATACATATATATATATATATTACATATACATGTACATATACAGATAATTAGACATAGACATAGGCATATACATATACATATACATATAGATATACGTACATACATACATACATACATACATACATACATGCAAGGATACATATATATATATATACATATATATATATATATTTATACATATATATATACATATGCATGTGTACGCACGTACATACATACAGACGCACACACATACAGACGCGCATACATACATAAATACATGCATACATACATACATACATACATACATACATACATACATACATAGATACATACATACATACATACATACATACATACACACACACACACATACATACATACATACATACATACATACATACATACATACATACTTACATACATACATACATACATACATACATACATACATACACACAGACGTACATACATACATGCACACATGCATACATACATACATACATACATACACACAGACGTACATACATACATGCACACATGCATACATGCATACATGCATACATACGCACATACATACACACTGTTTTAGTTACTTTCTTTCTTACTTACTTACTTACTTACTTTCATTACATACCTTACATACATTGTGCACATGCCCGGCCTTCCCAGGAGGAAACTGCATCTCATGTGTGCTTGTAATTGTGAACGCGTTGCTTATTCTCAGATCAGGGACTCGACCATTAGCTTATCAGCTCCGAGTTCGTCATGTTCTTCATAGTTCGGAGAGCTTAGGGGGCCCCCGGCCCCCCTCCCTCCCACAAAAATACACAAAAACAAAAAAGGAAAGATGGCGGTTTCCCATTGGCTTCGCTTGAAAGCAACCTCCAACCAAGAGACGGCCCTGTAGGATGTCCGACGGATTGCCAGGAGCTTTTCCGAGAGATGTTCTTGCAGAGCTTTGCCGCTGCTGGCGTGTCCAGGAGCACAGGGGATAGAATGGACTTGGCAACAGACGGGCGCAGGCGAAATTGTTTGTGGGCCCTCGCGAAAAGTGCAAAGTCATTGCCTGGTTCACATCCTGAGAAAGACAAATCGCCTTCAACTCGAGTGGTTCCTTTATGTTTCTTCCATGAGATGAGGTAAGGAGAATCTTCGGCCTTGTCAAAGCTCTGGGGACTGTGGAAAGTTGCACGTGCTCTCGCCTCAAAAAGTGGAACGTCTTTGGGGGGGAAAGCAGACCTGTCCAACACAAGTCTCCTTACCAGTCAAAGCCGGGGACGCAGGCCCCACCTCATCGAGCAGGCAGATGAGGCGATTCCTGGCACAAGGTGCGCTCTTTGTTGTGTTGTCGTCACCGGCGATTCTCATCTTTGGGAGAGTTGTCATTTCAACTCCGCCAAAGAAGGACGTTTATTTTTCTTGTGGCCACCGGGCAACACGTTATCAGTGCAGATGCACGTTTGAGTTTTGCCTCGCGCCGTTCATATCCTTTTACTGGATCCTGTTGAACTCCAAGACAGCTGTTCAAAGGTAGGCCTTCTGACAAGACGGTCAGATTCAAAAACTTGACAATCAAGGTAAGCGCCTCCAGCAAGGAGCGGGTTCTAAGCCCATCGTGTTGAGCCCTTCTGTTTACCCAAACAATTGCCGCAAAGTGTCACATCCTGAGAGGCATCGCTTATGCACGCTGGCATCCATGAATATAGAGATGCAAGCGTTATTCTATGCATATGAATTGTTCAGAGTTCACAGGCGCCAGCCCCCCCCCCCCAAATCGCCATTGTCAAGATGCTGAGCCATTAACTACTGTACGTTGGTGTGTCAGGTGGCTTTAGCTGGCTCTGAGTAAAAGTTGGCTTCGCAAAAGGTGGGCTTATACTTGGAGGTCGTTAAAGAATGGTGCAGGCAGAATGTTAGGTTGCTTTGGGGTTTGCTGAGCATCGGCTGGGGAAAAGCGTTTGGGATTGATTCCGGCGCTGGGTCGATTTATCAAGGTTCATGTTAACTGCTATTTAGGGTTTTGTTGGGGTTGACCTCAGGTTTGGTGCCGGGCTGGCTTAGACTGTCGAGTTAATCCATCGATAGTGAAGGGCTGTTTCGGGATGATCTTTTGGCTCAGTGTAGCATGGATCTGGTCGTTTTTCACCCTACCCATTGGAAATTCAAGCACGGGTAGAGGTTTCTCAAGAATGGACCTCTTTTTGGATGGCGTTCAAAGGGAAATCGCCACGAAGGTGCCCTTCCCGCCCTCCCAAACTTTCGTGGCCCCAATTTTTGGAAGAAAGTCCCGGCCGGCGGCTGGCAGCTGCAGGTATTTGTGGCGGGTGGGTGGGAACTCCGAGTTCCAACTCCCTCTGGCAGATGGGGAGCTCTACGAGAAGAGGCATGCCCCGATTCGAATGGGCCGAGTGTGTTGCAAGTGTCGCAAGGTGATTTGTAGGAAACTGGTGGGTTGCCCAGCGGCGCCCTTCTCTCCTTTGGGGAAGGATTCCCCTTGAACCTCAACGTCTCAACCAACCAAAAAAGGATGTCTTTTTTTTCTCCATGGCCACCGGGAATGGGAGGACATGGGGCGAGATTGGGTGGAGCCACAAGAACTGCAGTTTGAGTTTTGTAGGCTGTGTCCTTATCACAAGGCGTTGGAAACTGTAGTATATGATAATATGATATTCAGTTTGGTTGACGTGTTGAATCCAAGGATGGGTCCATCAGCCCTCGCATAGGCCAGGCAGAAGCTGTGGAAACAATTGCAGTTAAAAAGGTCGGCCCATTCGTTCTGTTCTCAATTTCGCTTTTCTCAGGAGGCTCATGGCAGATGTGACGAGATTAGGGACTTTATGATGCTTGTATGATCTTGCATGAAAAGGAAATTTTGAAAGGCAACCAACCATTCTGAGGCATCCCGGGTGTGAGGGGTGACCCCATGTCTATGTGTTCCTGGATGTTGGGAAAGAGCGTTCTGCTTGATCGCAACCGCCACAGACAGCTGAGAGTGACAGAGCGCTCAGACGTCACATCCCTGAACCAACCAGTGCTGATGTATGCTGACTGTGCTGGCACGAGGTTGTCGAATGCACAATCGGCTTCAAAGACGTGGTGGCGAGATATGACTTTACAACATGTGGAAAGCAAGGCAACACGGCACTGGACCATAGAAGCATCCAAAGTGATTTCCCTGTTCAATCGATACATCGAATGAAGAGCAATCAAGCTTCTGCATGTCGTCCTTTAAGGAGGTAGGGTGCTCGACAAGCCTGTGCATATGCTTCGGCAGGGAGTCACACAGGTACCCCGGCAAGGACGGCAGAAGCCATACTTGTGTTCAACAGATCCAGCGAAGGCAAATGGAGTAAATCAAATCTGCAACATAAGCAGCAGTCAACAGAGTCGCTGTCATCTACGGAAAATCCCATCAGAAAGTGGAGCTTGTCCGAAGTGGCCACATTCCAGGGGGTCACAACCTGGGGCTTCATTTCGTTGGGATTGAGAGGCACTGCTCTGGTTGTGTTGCATAGCTGGATAGGACGATTGATGTCGCCTTCCGCTGCCAACCAGACTCACCCTGCAGGCTGCCATATCAGATTGCCGAGTGGTATGCAGAATTCGAGAGGAAAGGCGCGGCTGCAAGGGATTTCTGATGCTGGGGACCAGCAAAAGCCGGTCAATGTCACGTGTTTAGGACTTCTGATTTGTATCCGGGAGCTGCTCTGTACGTGATACTATGTTTGCCGGCGTAGCAGGATGCGGACGGATGATGTTGGGTGAAATCAGATCGTTCACTTTCGTTCATCTCATTTGCTCAGAAAGTGCATCGAGATTGGAATGTTAGAGTCGGTCAGATGCTTGGTGGAGGTGTTCCTTCAAGTTCCAGGGGAAGTCCTCTCAACGCAAAGGTGTTAGCAAGCGTGGTGATGGTGCTTTGATTGTATTCCCTTAGGCACCACTCGGCATCCGAGGTTCGCATTACTCGTCCTGACATTGTCCCTACATCTTGGCAACAAGATGTCACGCGTTGAAGTGAGGGTTGGAGCGCAGCCTGCCGAATGAAGATGCTAGAGTGCAGAAGTCCAAATGAGCCACGTGGTTTTGGGCCAAGTATTTGTGTGCCATAAACGTGCAAATGGAAGTGCCAATCGCACCGCAGGCGGAATCCTGTACCCACCTCCTCACACGTACATCTACTACCAGAACAAGGCGAGGGTGACAGACAATAGCATATCCAGATTTCACAGGGAGTCACGAATGAGAAGGCAACTGCCGCAAGCTGCCGTAGTTTATTGACAGGCTGGAAGGAGAACATGATCGACAATTTGTGGCAGTTAGTGTTTAAACAGCCGATGGTTTTCTGACGCCACGAATGCTGTCTTGGAAGTCTCCACGCCTTGCATAGAGTGTGTGCAGCCTCCTTTCGGGCTTTCGGGCTTGGCCTTTGGTCGAGCGAGTTGTTCGGACTAACCGAGAAACATGGGATCTGAACATGGTCAGCTTCGAGGCTAAGATTCTGGTACAATCCTCCAGATTGCTCCGAAGTTGCGGTTCGAAAATGAATCCTACATTCGGAGAGGCCCGATGCTGGATCTTAAGATGGCAGCTTTCCCAGCCGGCCGTTCCCTTTTTGCCAGTCGGCTCATCCCACAAACCTTTCGGAGAAGGCCTTTTTTGGGTCTAGCAAAGACCCAAATTGACTCCAAACTAGCTAGGCGGTGTTGCCTCAGTCTGTGTATGTGCTTTGCTTGTAAGGCACGTAAGTGTTGTATTTTGATATTATCATCAAAGCAAGCACTCTCCACGGCCAGTCGCTTATCGCCTTGAAAATACTGGGAGGCGTTTGCCATTTAACTTGTGGGGTATACCAGCGGTTTGCAAGGCATTCCTTTGTTCAGCTGACATTTGGCATCTCCCCGATGAAATGCCTACAGTACCATTCAATATCAACCCAAATGTTTGTGCTACTGTGCTTTAGTCCTGCTGCTGCTGCTGCTGCTGCTGCTGCTGCTGCTGCTGCTGCTGCTGCTGCTGCTGCTGCTGCTGCTGCTGCTGCTGCTGCTGCTGTGGGGGCAACTACATGGGTACGTGCTCAAGTCCTGGGTAGTGGTCATAAACTTTATGCAAAAAAAAAGATCAAAACGAAAGAATTGATCGACTTCAGTGGGGTGTCACAAGCTGATCCACGGGGAGCTTGATCGGAGAAACAGGGAAATGGGTACAGGACATAGTTGGCATTGTGCTGAAACAGAAAATCCCTTTTGGGTGGATTGCCCAAAAACAAGTAATGTTGTACAAGGGTTCCTGGTTGGGAGACATACTTAATCAGTTTTGCTTGCAGCCCTATTTTCACCCAAACACCAGGACTGCTTTGTCCGGCGACTCTTCCCCAACCGCGTTTTGAAATACTCTTGGCGGGTTGCGCAGAGCTATGTCTGTTTTCAAGCTGACACGCAAGGGTCTCATAGCTCAGTTGGCTAGAGCGTACGGCTAGCAATAAGGTCTGCGATTCGAGCCCGCATGGGACCACTTTTTCTATCACATCGCCGCAGCTGCCTCGCCAAGGTGGGTTTGGCCAGGCTGTTCAATGAGCGCAAGGCCAGAGCGAGATGTGGCGTTGGTGCGTCCAGGGCCATGTGCAGAACCTGCAATCACTTCCATTTGCTTAAGCACATGATTTATTTTCGGGCTTAAGCAAATGGAAGATCATTGAACAGAGTGGTTATTGTCCTTTCATCAGGCATAATGCCCCCCCCCCCCCCCATGTTAGTTGGCTTGGATTGGTGAGCGTGCCCAGACTCGTCAAGACGTGTTGCACTTCGGCATGCTGGGTGCCCATGATGTTCCCTTTGACCAGCTGAAGCTTAGACAGTTGGCAGTACTGCGGCTTTTCTCCCCTGGAAAGCACAAGAAAGGAAACAAGGATCCCCATATGTTGGTTCCTCCAAAGAAGGTTGCTTTAGAATGAGCCTAGAGGCCCGCTTCAAGTTGTCAGTCATTGAGCAAAAGTCCATTTGAAAGCCTTTTGTGGCAAACAACGCCTCCCAAACGGGTGTCCTCTTGGAGCCATCCTTTTTCGCGGCAAATGTGAAACCAACGATTGAACGAACGCAGGAACGAACCAACAACTAACCAACCAACAACCAGCCAGCCAAGCAACGATTGAACGACCGAACGAACGCACGAAGAAACAACCAAGCAACGAACCAACCAACCAACCAGCCAAGCAACCAGCCGGCCAGCCAGCCAGCCAACCGACCAACCGAACAGCTTTCTTTTCTCACGGAAACCAACATCTAGCTTTAAAGCAAGGCACCGTGCCTCCGTAGCTACAGGAAAAAGACTCGGTCACTCCCGGACCGTCAAGGCATGTTCTTCATAGCTCGGCCCAAACCGGGTCCCTTTGGACAAACAAAGAACAATGACTTAATCATATTTCTGGTTCTCAGCAGGGAAGCAAGAGGTGGTTGGGAGTCGCTTCAGGATCTCCCAAGGGATGGTTCGGGGTCATTCCCTCATTGCCTCATGCCTTCCACAAGCGAGTGATGGCTCTTGGGGAAACCATCGTTTCTCTGTGGTGTTTTGTATGCTGGTTTGCTTCATTGGTTGCTGAATTCGTTGGTCCGTTGCTTAGTTGGCTGGCTGGTTGCTGAATGGCCGATCGGTGAGCCACATTTGCCAGGTCAAGATTCCACCCACCTGGGTCTTCGAGAGCCTCTCCGAAGCGGAAGCCGCCGAGAGCTCAGACGGGCCATGCCCCGAGAATCCCCGCGAAGCGGCTGCTTCACTCTCGCGGGCCGAATTTTTGCGGCGGCGTGGAAGCAAAGAAGCGGCTGTGTGTATTTACTCCTAACGAGCCTTTTGCTTGGATGGCCTTGGCAGATTTTCAAAGATCCGATGCTAGCAACCTACTTTTCCCAGTGCACTTGCTTTTGTGTTGTCTTGAAAGTGCTACGCAGGAGGATCCAATTATTTGTGCTTTTCCAGACCTAAAGGATGGAGGCCAGGGTGTATGGGCTGGTTTCAAAGCTGCCACGATTATGGCATTGGACCCAACAAAAGGCACATAAGGACAAGAGACTTCGCCATTAATGTTTGCCGAAACTAGCTTGATGTGCACGGGCGAGACTCCAAAGCACTATCACTATGTATAATACCCCCAGCAAGAAACTGAGATGCCGACTCGCATTAGCCACTAGGCGAATCTATGCCAGGTCATCAAAGTGAAGGCAGAATTGAAGTTTGAATACAGAGTTGTTTTCTTGGTGAGGTGGTTTGATATTACAGTATGATGGTTGGAAATTGTCCGATAACCGATGTTTGAATGGTTTGGTTTGGGCTGGTCCTGCCTTAGCTGGGTCGGTGGTTTGGTTCGCTAATTTGGCTGCTGTGGATGGGTTGGTTGGTGTTGGCTCGTTGGGGTGGTGGGCAACTAAGTAACTACCCGCAACCCGCCCCAGGAGCTTGAAAACATCAAGTTCCCGGTGGTCATCAAGGATCGGGCGAAAACACTGGGTCCCTTCAAGTGTTTGTTTGGTGGCGGGGGGAGCCATGGTTTCCCCTTTTAGTCACCATTTCAATGTGTTTCTTGGATGCTTCCCCTTTTTTGAGATGGTTTGAAAGGAAACTAAAAGAAAAACCGCCATCTTGGGGCGTCCCCTGATAAAAGATACCCATTTGGAGGGTGACTTTGACCAAAATGGACCAAAGAATGTCTGGGACTATCCCTGGCGGATCCTCTCGAAAGAGTCGGGAAAATCTGATGCATCGGTTTTGGATTTCGGACGGCTGGCCATTTTTGCCTTTTGGCCGGACGGCTTGACTCATTTTTATCGTGTCAGTGCTTTGCCGAGGCTTACCTAGTCCTGCCTTATCTTGCTTTAGAAGGAACCAGTCCATTTGAAAGCGGCCGCCAGAACTGCATGGTTTGCCTTTTCCACTGTTTGTGGGATAAATAAGCAGCCCCCCTGGTAGTGTAAACCCTTTTCAAGGGAGGCTGTTCATTTCAGTGGAAAAGGCAATGCCGCCAGAACCGTGCTGCTCCCAGATCCAAGTTTCTTCCGGAAGCATGAAGCTTGGGGAGCGGAAACCTAGGCATTCAGTCCGCCTAGAGAGCGAGCACGCCGATTCGGGGCTAGAACAAGCGAGAGCCATGATAAAGGTCCTTTTACTTGGGATCCCTCAGTAAAGCTGATGGAGTCATGGTACAAATTGCAGCTTCAGTGTATATGTTGATCCCAAGAGGCTAAAGTTTGCTTGCGTGTAGATTCGGTGTCAATAGCGGAGGACCTGAGTAAGAAGCATCAATCTGAAGCGGGGGTCGATCAAAACAGGAACCAGTCCCCTGGAGTTTGTTTCCTTTTGTCTCAACATGTAGAATGTCCATGTTGAGAATCTCAGCAGGTGAGTCCAGTGATCCCTTCCAGGATCCTTACGGCTTCTCCAGCATGCACTTGCTGCAAGCGGCAGACAAGGAAGAGTTCCTGCAGGCGAAGAGAGAGCCTGTGACTGGGTTGCCGAAGGCGGACGTGCGGCTAATTTGTCTGGTGCGATAGTAAGGGAATGAGGGAATGAACCTGGGGATTCCCCACAAGGGATGCTGTATACGGGTCAATCCCTCATCCCCCGCTGAGCACCAGCAAGCTAAATATGGGTATGGATTTTAGTGGGGGACACTTTGGTGGAGATCATTTCGGCTGGGATTCATGTCCACTGATCGCTTGAACTAGGCGGGTTCCCTATTTCAAACTCATAGCCATTTTATGGTGAATTGAAATGGTGAGACCATCCTTTAACGGATGCATCGCATGCCTTGGTGTTCAGCTACGGAGCCAGTGTGAAATGGCTCATTTAAGAGCGCCCATTTCAAGCATTCGGCCCCAAATCTGCCCAGGTCCCGCAGGAGCAAGGAATGAAGGGGCGTGAGGAACGCGGACACGAGACAACCACATTCTCCTTTCTCTTGACGTCTAGCAATACTCTTAGCACTGGACTTGAACAACTGACTTGAATTCCATTGCCATCATGTTTTCCCCACACCCCTTGACTGGGATAGTCTTCAAATATGCGAACCCTCAGAATATGTGACATCCTGCTGGTTTCCACCCAAGAAAACGCACCTTTCACAAAGACACCCACACAGGCACTTGGCTGCGCCCGCTTGGGCTCCGGCGGATTCTGAGACCTGCCTTTCACCTCGCAATCCACCGTTTGGCTTGCAGAAAGCTTCAGGTCATAGCCCAGCCGCCAATTCCTCTACTGCTATTGGGTTGGATCTTTAGACTTGAACTTTTTGGATTCTCCTCATATTTCCTTTTAACCAGCAAAAAGTCAAACTTTTTACTGGGGGATTCTTGCGGAGGGTCTTGCAGAAAGCTGTCCGGAGTGAGACACGATCCCACGGGCCAACGGGTCGTCGTGCGCCAGAACTGCCAGCTCTACTTCGAGAAGGCACTGCCTGGAGTGGAGGCCATTGTCCAGTCCAAGGCGCAAAGCCGCTTGCTCGAAGGGGTTGGGCAACCTATGATAATTTGATTTGGCTGTTTGTGGATCCCCGGAAATGGATAGTTTAGGGCTTATAGAATGGTCATTGAAGCACGGGGTTCACCGTTTTGAGACACCCGCACATGAGCATGAGCAATGCGCAAATTTACGATCTCGGGCTTGTTTACGTGCCAGTTGATAGCCTTTATCCTGTTCTTGCATTTGGGACCCCTCTTGTGGATGGTCGTTTTAAGGAAGCATAGATCAATCAAAGGTGCATTATGGAAATACTCCTGTAAGATAAATCCCATAGTTTACAAGAGTTTGGTTTCCGTGGTTGACATGTTGCTGTGTGTGTTTGGTGTTTGCACTGCACTTGCCTGTGCAACGTGACTAAACATATTGATGCACTGGGGCTTGTTGTTTCAGAACAACTGTCCAGAAATGTCAGTGCTGCGCTTGTTGTTGTTTGTGAATGTGTGCGCGCGCGTGTGTGTGTGTGTCTTTGTGTGTGTGTGTGTATCATTCTATCATTGTAAGGTTGTGGTTTGTGTGTGTGTGTGTGTTCTTGCTTGTGTATGTTTATGGGTTTGTGTGCTTGTGGGCTTGTGGATTAGTGGGTCTGTGTGCTTGTGTGTTGGAATGTTTGTGTGCTTGTGTGTGCGTTGTTTGCGTCTGGGGGGAATTGACTGCCATGGTCGTTGATGCGGGCAAGGCCAGTTTCCGCTGCTGAGGATGTGTTGTTGTGTTTGGGGCCAGGAACTTTATTGAGATGCTGCAAGCACAGCACCGGATTCCGCGGCGCATCAATCAAACAAATACATGAATACATAGACACATGCATTTTTATAGAAAATATGGTTGGCGGTCTCCAAAATAAGAGTCTTCTAAAATGTTTGGTGTCCTTGGGTATTCAAAGCCATATTTAACAGCCAAAATGGGGTCCGCTATTTTATGTTCAATAAAGCACTTATTTGCATACGCATGATGCCCCCATTCGATGCCTACTGAGTTCGAATCCGGTATGACTAAGGCAAGATCTCAGGGAGCTTTCGGGGCAAATCTGGGGTCCTGCCGCCTGTTCCAAGATTTGGTTGAGTGCGATCACACCAAAAGGCAAAGCACCGTTTTGGGGTCCCCGATTTTGACACGTACCACGTGCCCATGAGCGAATTGAACAGGTGGTGGCGATGCGAGAGGCACGGGTGACCTATATCGAGGGTCGGCCCTTCCACGGCTACTGGCGGATCAGGCAGGGCACTTCTCAGAAAACCCATGCGAATGGCTGCTTTCTTGCTTTCTGGTTTGTTAGCAATCCCTTTTGAAGAACGCATCAAACCAGCGACTTGTGTGCAAGATCACTTGAGGCTTACGAGCTGTGGTTTCAACATTTGAGACCATTCGGAAACGCAACAACGCAACACGCGCGAGCGTACATTCTAGCTCGAGTTGCGGCTTTATCTGTCAACGTCATGGGTGCTTGGTGTCCTCAGCAGAGGCGTTCAGACCCTAAATCCAGCATTGCCAAGTTATCATGCATTGACACAAATGTGACTTGTCAGATATATGTCAGATTCGGAGCTGAAGCTTCTGGATACTTTAGGTGTTGTTTGACCAAGTGGCAAAGGACGTTGCGCATGAAATGTGTTCCAATCGCCACCCATGTCGAGATTAACGGTTGGGGAGGGTGCCCCTGGCACGAGTACAGTAGTCGATATCCTCCTGCGCAGCTTCTACCTCAATTGGATGGACGATACGTATATAAGAAGTGCAAATGATTAAACGGTTCGACCAGTGTTTTAGCAAAGGCTATGGGGCTGAGATACCCAGAGGCAATGAATCATATCGAGACGACGGGCCGTCAGAAGGTGAGGGAAGTCGGCACCAGCCAGGGTCTAGGTTTACTTCCCTATTTTCAACCTACGGTTACTTGGTTCAATTCACCGGCAACAATCGGTTGATATCCTGGCTGTGTGGTTTCTGTGGAGCATGCTTCCGCGAGGCAGAGCTTGAAGTCTGCCTCGGCAGTCGCGGCCTCACCTCAAGCTGGCGATTCGATTCGCGACTTGCGAGGCATCAGGACTCAATGTCACTGTTGTTTTTGGCTTATGCGTACATGGCCGAAATTCCTGCACAGCAAAAAGGGCTGCATTAAGATTAAGCTGCGTTTTCCAGACAGAGTTGCAAAAGTTGAATGTGCTTTCTGCTGGATAGACCGTGAACACAGTCAAAAGTTTGAGGGATGCTGCTGAGGAGCACCAGGTGGGAAGGTTCAAGATTGAATATCAGGTGCAAACTTCGGTTGAAAACAAAAAAGCACGCAGCCAGCATGAACGAAGTAGAGAACTCAGGTAAGCGCGACTGAAGCTTCTCAGATGGCCATTTCCACCACACCTCTTGTAATTATTGTCTCCCCACGCTAGCGAGCCACCTCCGGGATCTCTGGTGATCAAACTTCCTACAAGGTGGATGAGAACCCCTAAAAAAAGCCCAAAGTGATCTTTCGGGCCAAGTTGCCAACAGCGACAAGATGCTGACTCCAAGCACTATCGAGCACTCCCCAAATTGAGAGAGACTCTGCATTTTTGTCCCACAAAGTATACTTCAGCAAATCCCAAAATGTTTGCTTCCGTGTGTGTGTGTGTGTTTATTGACGGTTCGGTGCAGAGTTCCGTCCTGAATCACCCTGCGGTGAATGCGCCCACCGGCCGCAAGATTTCTAACCCTCACCGGGCTGCAGCTTGCACCAAAGGACAAGTAGCATCCCACAGGAACCCATTTAGAGTCCATTTAGAGTCCATTTAGAGTCCATTTAGAGTCACCCAGATGGCAATCCCGAAAGATGACTTGCAACTCATTGGCCTCATGGAGAGTGACAAAGCAGCTCATCGATCTCAGTGGCACGCAGGCGAGCAACCTGGGCGGCTACCAAGACTTCGATTTCCCCCTGCTGGCAGCTCAGAAGCATGTCATGTGGGGTAAGACGGGTGTACATCGGGCGGGTGGCAGTCTGGAAGAACATCTACGTCCCCATCCCCTCGCCAATGTGGAAGGAGGGTGGTCCCCATCCACGGCAAATATTCTGGCCATGACTCTTGACAACAGACATCACGAAGCCCAGAATTCCGTGGCAAAAATGCAACACCAGCACTCGCACCTTCGCTTAAGGGCACAAATGTGGTGCGCAAATGTGTTCTTCTCAACCCGCAACCTGGCTCTTTGGGTCAGATCTTGGCCGAACACCGATTTCCGTTGCCAATCGGAGAAGCCCGACACTCGAAGGAAAATCGAGACACTCGGGTGGTTTGTGACTGTGGCCTGGACTTGAGGAGCATGTTCTGTGAGTGAGACGCTTGCTCCTTCTCACCTTGAACCGTTCAGACACTCTGTTGGAAATTCAGGTTCTCCAAGTTCAAAGATCAAGGGAAAGAAGAAGCGGCTCACTCCAGGTCGGAGATTGCCCCCTACGTCGCGGAGTTCGCCAACCTGAGACTTGGCCCACGGTGAGCCCGGGGCTGACCCAAAGGTCCAAAGAGCACCGGCGGGTCGGCGGGTCGGCGGGTCCCAGAAGGCCTTAGGCCAACCCCCCCGTTTCAGGCACGCGCCAGTGGGGCCTCGAGCTGCATTTCACAAACTAGGTCCCCCAGTAGTGTGGGGTTCCCCTACTAAAATAGACTACAGAAAAAGGGTACCCTTATTCTAACCTCTCTGGAGGACCTAGAAAAGGATGCGGAAGAAAAACGCGACATGTTGAGAAATGTCAGTTCCGGCGTCGCATGGGTCGACGGAAGATGTCTTTAGAGGCCAGACCACAGACCACACACGAAGCAAGAGTCCAGAACTCGTGGGTGTCCAACAGGGTCCTCTTTGCCTTGTGCCGCGGAATATGTGTTAGGATTCCCTGAAAGGGAGCTCCTTGTTTTGTACAAATGTGTGTGTATATGGGACTAGTCCTAAAGGTCCCTGTATTCAGTTTTCATCTGCTGCCCTCCGCGCAGAATTCGAGATGGAGGTGGCAAGAGTTATTCTCTTTTCGCGAAAGTTTGGTGTATGGGTGGTTGCTAAAAGGAAGATGCAGTGATGAAGCATGTGGATGTGTGTGGGTGTGTGCTGGTAGTGCGCGCAGAATGCACAAAACTGGTCGGAGGAAAGCGCGGCCTGAGGATTGCCGCAAAAACTGCAGAGACAACCCTCTGCAGAAAGCAGCTGGTTGGAGTTTTGAAGCTTTCGGGTCCAGTTGAGCGCAAATTCCCAGCAAAACGTTCGGCAATGTTTGGCGAAAGTCGATGGACCGTCCCACCGCTAGTGGCCAACGTGTCCCCCCCCTGCTGCTGCACGGCTTTCGAGCTGGGGCTGGGTAAGTGCACTTCGTGTACTATTTTGGACCTGAAAAGCTTCAACTTTCAAGCTGGGCCCGCGGAAGTTTACTTCGTTGGGACTTGCAAGCCGGACTGCTGAATTGCACTTCGCGTACTACTTGTGTGATGAATGTTGTGAAAATGTGTGAAAATAGCCCCGTGAAAGATCCGCGATGGAGGAGGCGAAAGTTTTTTTTTCTGTGAAGATGGCGTTTCCGGGAACATGGAATGTCGGACAACCTAAATCTATAAAATATATACATATATATATATATGTTCCAGTCGTACCCCCCCCCAAAGGGTAGGGTCCCCCCATCCCACACATCTGCATCTTGGGATGACGCTAGCAATCCAGTACCGTGTGCCCTGCGGCTCCGGTCCCCAGTGCCCCACCGCTAAACCAATATCCTACTCTGAACCAACCTAACCACCCCAAACCAACCCTTCACACATATCCTAAACCAACCCTGAACCAACCATAAACCCACCCCAACCCTAAACCAACCCTAAACAAACCTTAAACCAACCCCAAACACCCCAACTACACAACCACCCCACTCCACCCCACTCCACCCCACTGTGGGGGGGGGCCTACAGTACCCTTCAGAAGGGGGGGTTCCACGGCCTGGAACATCTGTATGCAGAAATGTATACATGTGTTTGTTGGCTTTGGCTCTAAGTCGTGCTAGTCTTCGCGGTGCCAAGGACTGGCATACCTGTGGGAGGCAGCGATGGGTTCAAGCAAACCATGCTGGGCATGTTGGCATGCGCCAAGGGCTGCTGGATGCCATTGGAGCGCTCACACGTCACATGCCCATTGCAACTATAGGTATTGGCTTGTTAAGTCAGTCTTGTTCCAGAGGCTTTGGCATGGAAGTGTAAGCCAGGGTGAGCTTCGAATGTGGTCCCCATTGGCTGGATCTTTGGAGCTTCCTTGGCTTTGGCTGGGGAACTGCATCCGGATCCAATGTCAATCGGAGATTTGCAGGCGTCGACTTTATATGGGAGGAGGAGAAGGCGAATGTTACAGTGGTGCCCTACACGCTTGAGGCGGACGGAGAGCGATCGATTGATCAGATAACTCCAATGTTTGTTGTTTTTGCTCAGTCCTCCAACAACTTGTTTATCCAGTCCTGATTGTGTAATGTGCCCTCCGGAAAAAGTGTTGAGCGTCGCTTCTGTTTAGGGGAAAACCAACCAAAAGAGGGACAGAGACCTTCGGTTGTTTATGGTCAATGGAAGCTGGATAGCAACCCTTGAGTCAGGGGATGAGCTGTCGCTGGAAATATGTCTATTGAGGACATCCAGATGATTACTGCTTGAAAATGGTCTGGCAGTTCCTCGTTTGCGATTGACTGCCAGTTCATGGGTAGGATCATCGCTCACCGGAACCTTTGAGCCAGTTTTTGTTTGTTGGGGCTGGCATGTGGGCTCACAGTCAACGACGTTTAGACGTTTAGACCGCAAAACCACCTGAGGCTTGGAACGTGAAATTGGCAACTGTGAAAGAATGGCAGCTGTCCAGACAGGGGAAGGAAGCCACACTTTGGTCCTTGATTGTTCAAGAGAGGCGACCTGAACCTGAGTCCAGCATGACATGTTGGTGATCCATATTGTGCTGGGGTGCGAAAACACAAGCGCTTTGTTGCGGAGCGATTGCAGTTGCAGGGTGTTTGTTGCAAGTGGGTCTTTCAGAGCCATCCTGATGCTAAGTTACTAAGAATCGCTGACCTACATTGAGCATTGCTGTCCTAACATGTTTCTTGGCAGGTGAGTTGGCACAGTACGTGTTGAGTTGCTTGATGGACACTTGTAGCTTTGGATGTTGTGTCACACTCACGTCAGCCAAAACTCACGCTCGAGGCTGTACCGCAATGTAAGATCTTTGACGCAGATGCAAATAGTTCCTCCAATATGCCAAGCTATGCTTGAGGAGCCTTGTTTCTGTGCTGAAGCTGGGCTGGAGAGCAATTGCAAGAGTCGCAAAAATATCGCAAGAGTCACATAACAGAGCCATCATTGCTGTTTTGATTGCTGATTTCTGCCGGTGCCTGTCTTAACATAGGAGTTTGGAGATGTTTTTGGTGTTTGCCAATATATGTATATATATATATATATCCGGAGGCTGCCTTTCGATGTTTATTCAGCACCGTTCTGTTCCACAACGAATGTGGATGGCTCTCCGATCCTAAGACCCCAAACACAACTAATCTTGCTGGTTCGTTGGGGAATGATAAACGAAATGACCTCGAGCAAAATCATCCCACAAGTGGCTTCCTTCAAGAGGACCGCGGGGTTCATCCCCGGTCATTCCTCACTGAGAACCAGCAAGTGGTGTCTATCTTTGTATTTCTGCGTCGAGAGTGTTTATGGGAAGCAGTGGGTGTTTGTGGCATGAGCCATTGTTTTCTTGCCGAATAACATCCAAGGGCGGAAATGCATACGCATCTGCCTCTTGGGAAATGTTAGTTCGGCGGAAATCGGTGACTAGTCTTTGTCACTTCCAGCAGGCCCTCTCTCACTCATCACATTGCCGCTAGTCAATTTCAGGAGTAAATCTCACAACATTGCTGCACTGCAATTTTCCAGAGGCTGCAAGCCTGGACGCATGTTCGTTTCTGGGTCGAGGTCGGAAGTCTCCTGGGTGATTTCCCAGCCTCAAGCCTACTGGGGGATGACTCTCATGGCAAAGTGATTACCGGAGTTCGGGCATCAACCGCTTGCTTTCTTATCCAGGTCTCGCCTACGAGCGACATCAATCCGCCACAGCCTCAGTGCAGAAGCCCCCTAGCACACCCATGTCACCACTTTACGGCTGCTTGGCTTGCTTGCTGTTGCGGATGTCTCAATTGATGCATGTAATTACTATTTGCTCTCCGCAATGATAGCTAACTCTGCAGTGGCTCAAATGGTAGTCCTTTTCACACAGAATGACATTTGTGGTCAGCCCCTGTGATCTACAGTTTGCTTCTCAAGTCCTTTCAAATAGTACTTGAAGGGAGGGTGGGACCAGACATTTCATATGTTTGTTATATATAGATATATGTTGTAGAGAAAGAGTACGTTGGTTGATGTGTATATATTCTGGACCATGTGGATCAGTTCTGATGCCTTCAGTGCCGGAATTGGGCGTCCCCGCACGTGCTGAAATTGCGATGGCAAGGCCAGCACCGACCTCCTGGACAAAGACCTACTCAGAGTTCAAGCACACAAAAGGCGCGGCGGAGCCGCTTGCAGCACAGTGCACTTGTGCTTTGTTGAAAACTTTGTTTTTGGACGGGGGTCCCCTTTAAAATCACAGGCTCCCCCATGTTCTCCAGTCGTTGTGGCTTGTACATCGCCTGTTGTCCAGTTTGCCTTAGAGGCAGGGGCCCCAAAACCACCAAGAAGCCGACCTTCGTAGCTTCCATGGCCAGGTCAAATCCGTATACTTCCAAAGCGGCCGTGTGCATTGCCCGGTGATTTCAAGTCACAGTGCACTGCGCGATGGAAAAAAGCCGAGCAAAACCGCCCAGGCTATCGCCGAGCGCGCGCCCGGCGAGTTGCAAGCCGCATATTCGCGGCGGCGGTGGCAGGTTTTTCTCTCCGCGCAGGTTCTCATGCCACTCGAGTCTCGTGACGTAGAATGTTACCAACAGACTTCAGGACCCTCATGGAAGAGTGGCTCACACCCAACCCAGGATCTCCCATGTTCGAAGGATGTGAATTCAGAGTTACCTGGCGGGCGGGGTGTTTTGAATTAGTGGTCTCAAAGAATGAATGGTTTCCGGTTGGTTGTCCTTCAAACACCAGCCGAAATGGAGCCATCATATGGCAAACACCCTTTTGTGCTTGAGTGCTGAGCATTGCGATGTGGAGGCTGGCTTCTTTGCCGGCGCATGCCATGACTTGTCATATTTCCCGTTTTGAATTTCACAGCAGACGTTGCACATCGGGTCGGTACCCCTTGTGGGTTTCAAAGGAAAACCAAAAAGCAAGCAACCATTTTGGGTGCCCCCTAGCCCTAAAAGAAGACACATCCATTGCAACTTTGCGCGCGGGAACGCTGAAGCAAACGGGTGTAGATGTTTGTTCATTGCCCACGGACCTGGGACAATCATCCAGAACTCACAAGCGTCACGTGTTGAAACAGGCCACACATTGAATCCTACTTTCTCAAGACTCGGTATGCGAAAAAGTGGATTGAGAACTGTTAGATCCATTGGTGGATTCGGGAATTCATTCGGTATGCTTGAGGCTCGCATCATTGCAGCAATTCAGGCGCTTGTTCTATAAGCCTGGGTATGTCGGAAATAGTTTCATGGGCACGGTGGTATGAACATGGTCTCGAGTTTGAATGCCTTCATATCGGCTGGCAGAACACATGTCGACATCATTCAGCATCCAGTCCGGGCAAAAGCTGTTGTTTCTTCATATGATCACGTTATCGCTTCAGGTGCTCTTTTACTTTTGCACTTTGATCTGACGCACATGCACACACACGGCGCTGAGTCTAGCATTGGTTTCTTCGGCTTGTTTGATTTTCTTCACGTTCAATGTCTGCCAAGACCCTTGCATACAGACGTATGTTCAAGTTTGGATTCGGTTTGTTGCAACGTCCTGTCGCTCTATGAGGTACTTGGATGTGAGGAGGTCCTGGCGGTGGCCTTAGGGCTGCGTTTGGCCGTTAAAACCAGGTTCCCGAGCTTGTCCTAACCAGGGGCCAAGGAGCACTGGCACTTCCACCTTCGTATTGGGGGAAACGTCCATTGTCCGGGACTCGAAATTTGGTAAGGGTGACAACATAGGTGGATGATAAAACTTGTTTTTTTTCCGACGGGAGGGGGGGCTTCTTGCATTGGAGGGAGCTGCTTTGTTTGCCGGTTTGCATTCTGGCTTGCAACTACGCGATTTCTTTGGCGAGTATAGTTTACCTGCGTTCACTGAAAGCGCAAGCAACGTTGGGGCGTGTGACTTGTGTTGCTGAAACTCAAATCCTAGCACATGAACATTTATATATCATAAGTCAAGTTTGACCAAAGACCAACAGCTCAACAACCTCACGTGCTGACATCATCCAATGCGCAAAAGCCATATACGCACAAGCACGTTCATAGGAAGGAAGAGAGCCTGACGCGTTCGGCTGTCCATTCCCAGGCGGCTGTGACATACGCTTGCATTGGCATCGTCAGCACCACATTTTATCGAGATAGCGAGTATGCAGCAACCAATTTTGGCACACTGAAGAAATCCATGCTTAAGTCACACGGGACCACATGTGTTGCTCGCGACATGTCGGGGCTTGTTCAAATTTATGATATCTAATGGTGATGCCGAGCATTTCGCTCGCTGCGAAATCCAGTTGCTTGCAGGCAGTAGAGGTCAGAAGCTGATAGCAAGGCAGGAAGATATATGGCTGTGGGTCAAAATAGGTACCCAAAATGGAGCCCTGCCAAGTGGAAACGTAGACCAAAATCTGCGGTCCCCGGTGGTTTAATTTGACCCATGCCCATATGTCAAACTCACACTCGGGCGTGAGGCCCAGCCAATGTGTAGTGCCGAAAGGATATCCAAGAGGCTTTTTCATATTGAAAGGAAGGGGGAAGGCAGATTGCGCATGGCGCAACTCCCCGATGTGGGATTGGTCAGCTCTTGTTCTTACCCCCAAATGGAAGGATACCAACTTTCACTCTGGTGTAAGGGTGGTGATTGAAGCTTCAGAGAAGGCTCGGAGCAACTACCCTGAAAGATGGATACCTTTGTCATTGCATGTTGAGCTTTATGATGGGAACAAGCATGGTAGACATGCAGGACCGACTTGATGACCTTGGCGGTCATTGACAAGCCTGAGCCCGAGAAGAAAGCCTGCCAGAAAAGCGCTTCATGCCAACCCCAAAGACATGATTTGCATTGCGGGGGGCTTCTATGTTGGCACTTTGCATAAAGGTCATTCGGCGCAGATTCCTTAGTTTGGTGCCCGCAAAATGCAAACGCGCTTGCTCATGATGGAACGCGATTGAAGTGCAGATCGACACCAATGGTACGGTATCCTGTACTGATTCACTCCACGCCTCATTTGTCCTGATGTTGTCAGTTTTAGTATAACGGATGCCTGTAGCATTGTACCAGGCAACAGCACTGACTTTTGGTGGCAGTGGAAGAGGCAAAGTAAATTGCATTGTGTCAGTGCTCAAGAAAGCAGGCATAGTAATGATTGCCACCTGTGGGGAAGCAAAAAAGAAAAACCTAGTTTTCCTTGCACAACTTGGTTTGTCTATGCCAATGTCACAAACGAAGCTGCAGAAAAGTACAAGCTCAGCAAGACAGAGTCGACTGCGGCAACGGTTCAGAAAGAACATATTGACGGTGTAATTCGCATGAGTACAATATGCATGACTATCCTTTGTTGCAATGTGTGGTTTGCAGACAACTAAAAGACCCAAGGCTGTTTTCCTGCGCGTGCCTAGTGCTGGGTTGGGGGGGTCTTATAGTTAGAGTTGGCCTCTCCCGTCCGCATTTTGCCATCCGGTCCTAGGGTCCCCCCCACACTTTTGGGCACATTCTGAATACACCCACTAAAACAGCCCATTTTCAACATTCAAGTTCAATCACCCAACCAATCCAACACCAAAAAACACATATTCATATACCCATCTTCATTTTTTACCCCATCTCAACATCACCCTTACACTCATTCAATAACAACAATCATAACTACATACCACCTCAACAAATCCCACCAAAAAAGTCCAAGCTAAATACCAACATTTGTTCATTCCCAAGATCGCAACCCCAAAATCTCAATAATTTCTCCATTGTTCCAACTCGAGACCCTTTCCCATTTCCAACAAATACGAACAGTCTAAAAAAGAACGCTATGTTCGCCCCGAAAAATGGTTAACCAATGGAAAAGGGAGAATTAAAACCGTTAACCCAAATCTTGAAAACAATCCCAGTAAAATATGGATGGCGGAAAGGCCTATGTAGGAAAGCACCCCCACGGCTTATATGGGAAAATTAAACTAAAATTACAACATATAAGATCTTATATGTTGTAACTATAGTATAATCAAGAACTGAAACATTCATCTCAATAATAGCTAGCCGCGCTTTCATTATCGCTAAATTCTTCATCCTCGTCATAGAAGTCTTCCGTGCTTAATATATGATAAAATCGGATATGCCATTCTGCCTCTGTTCTGAATGGCATCATTTCCAACAGTGCTCTCATTGCGTCGTAATAACCAATTCTCAAGTGTTTTCTTTTGTCATCAATACTATCAATGAACCAGAGCTGTTTAAATTTATTTTCAATATCATATATGTAGGAATAATTATAGAACGCTTTCAATTCTAAATATATTTCATAATCAGATTTGGTATCATCCAATGCTTCAGTTAAAGTCATTGCCCAGAATGGGTTTCTTTTTACTCTTTCCCAAGTTGGAAAATGGTTTTTAAGAATATCATTATACCTGTAAGGACATATATCATAACAGTGATATGACATAATATTCAATCTAATTTCCAATGGTAGATTATTAATGTCGCACATACTTTACTTAATATATTAAGGTAATATTTCTTTAAGCGCTTTTTCAGGGAAACTTTTAAATCAAGCGAGTTATAATTACAACATATAAGATCTTACATGTTATAATTATATTATGAGTTCAACTTTATTCTAATTCATTATAAAATTCTTCTTCAATTCTTTTTATTATTTTATCAGTCGCTTTTTTCATTATATATATTATTTCCTATTTCCTTTTTAAACAAGCCCATTGTTCTAATTGCACTTATTACCGTATATCTAAGTTCGTGAGCTTTATACTCACAACTTAAAAAATCAAAGTCATTATCATTCAATGCTTCTTTCATTAAACGCCTAATATTAAAAGACATACCATATAATCTTTTTACCAGATTATAATACTTAAAAATAAAATCATTATCATTTCCTTCCTCATCGCCCTTATATAATAAATTTCCAAACTCTTCTTCAGTCAAGAACTTATTCATTTTAATAAACACAAATATTTCTAAATCGTCATCAATATTTTTAACATTTCTAGTATTAATATATTTGCTATTCATATCATCAATTTCGTTTATAATTTTATTGCAACTATCACATATCATACATTGACAAATGTTATCACAAACACCATTCAAAAAACCTTGTTTAATTGGTAATTTTAGCATCTCACAGTCTCTACATTTATAACTCATAAACTTTTCTCTGAATATATTTTTAGCATCAATATCTTCACGGACTGTGTTACTATATTTACTATATTCACTGTCTGCATCACTATATTCACTATACACACTTTCTGTATCACTATATTGACTATTTTCACTTTCTGTATCGCTCATTGTCCTAATATACATATATAGGTAGTATTTATTTAAATACATTTTCAGAGAAATTATAATTTATAGAAATATTTTTACCACTATAATTACAACATATAAGATCTTACATGTTGTAAGTATAGCAAAACTATGGTATCAAAGGCTTTAATCTATGTATTTCCATGGGTTGTATTCGTTTCTTCTGTTCCTTCCTTAACTCTTTTGTTGCTTTTACTTTGTCTCTGCATTCCTTACATGTTTTGTAAAATATCTCTTCCATTTTAATTCTATCATACATTTTGTGAAAATCCTTTCTTGGCTTTGCTTCGTCGCATTTACTGCAAGGATAAACCATTGTGTATCCTGTTTCTTCTTCGTCATCTGTAGAACTCATAATATTAGTTATGCCAATATGTCTTTAAACGGATTTTCAGAGAAAAATGTTTTCAATCAAGAATAAATCCCTGTATCTTCATCATAGTCGATTTGATAAAATGTCATAGTTGAAGCCTTCGGTTCTTTAATTTCTTTGTTATTAAGTTTGTTTAAATAAATATTTCTTTTATTTTTATATTCACCATTGGTTCTATCTACTTCTTTACTTTGATAACTGTTTGTTAATGGTTTCTTCTTTTCCATTTCTGGTAAGATTTCTAAAATATTCTTATTCTGTTCTAAAACCTTGTTCAGTTTTTTAACCATCTTTTCTAATCCTTCATCCATGTAAATATATATATATATTATATTATAAAATAAAACTTTTAAAACTAAATGTTTAAATTATGTTAAATCTACTCTTTAAATACTAATTTTTCATCATTTGTTTAATAGTTTCCTGAGATTCCTTATCGCCATTATCGGATGGCGATGCATGTCTTCCCCATTTGATAGCAATATTATGAACATCTGTTTCTAAGTTGATACTTTCTTTGGTTTTATCAATATTCATTTTCTTATCATTTTTACTTATTTTGAAAGTTGTGGGAAAACACAAACATTTACAGTTTCCTTTCTTTTGTATTTCTAATTCATTTTTCATTTCTAACATCTTTTTACACATTGGACAAGCAAACTCAATAACTGATGTTTCTTTAACAACTTCTTCTTTTTCTTCATCAGTTGAAGAAACAACTGGTTCAGTCTTATTCTTTTTCTTTCTTCCCATTTATATTAATATTTACATTTTAATTTTTGATATATTGTATCACAAACTTAATTAATTCTAAAATAAAATAACATATTTTTTTACATCTATTAGTTATAACAACTTGTTCTATATTCTCTACTTCATCTATTATATCAATATAATCTGAATAGCTTCTATTCAGATAAAATAATAAATATAAAATATTTTCTAGATACCTTTAATATTATTTTATTATGTCAGATGTTCCAATAATAAAACCAATAAACATAACTGAATATGAATTCAAACAATCTAAATATGAGCACGTGCCAAAATTACCATTTAGAAGTATTATAGTTGCTTCATCGACGGGAGGCAAAACAGTTTTAGTCCAGAACCTTATCTTAAATGTTTATAGAAATTCATTTGCAAGAATATTCATATTTTCCCCCAGCGTTCATAATGACCCAACCTTTACAGAAGTTAAAAAATATATCAGGGATGAATTGCACGTGGATGATGAAAAAGAACAAATTTATTTTGATAATTATAATCCAAGTGATTTAGAAAATGTAATTGAAAGACAGAAGAAAATAATTAATTATATGAAATCTAAAAAGATAAAGAAACTACATTCAATATTAATCGTTATAGACGATCATGCCGACGATCCTAAATTTGTTAGATATAGTAAATTATTACATGGATTATTTACAAGAGGTAGGCACGATGCAGTAAGCGTAATTTGTTCAACACAGAAATACAATGTTTTGGCGCCTATCATTCGTTTAAATGCCAGTTCGTTATATATTTTTAGGTTGAAAATTGCCAGTGAATTAATGAGTTTTATTGAAGAAAATAGTGCCATTGTTGATAAACAGCAATTATTAGATATGTATCATCAAGCCGTTAATTTTGCTCCATATTCTTTTTTCTACGTGAATATGAATTCAAAAGACATTAACAAAATGTTTCATATCAATTTTGAACAGGCATTTCAAATTACAAATGATGAATAAAGATATTCTAATTTAATATAATATAATAATATGCTAATGAAACTATGTAGATGTGGTGGATTTTATCGTAGAGGTAATTACAATTTTCATACTAATTCTTGGATACATAAACTTTATAAAGTGTTAAAAAGACGACCAACAGACGAGGAATTATTAAGATTTCAAAATAATTTTGTTGATGAAGAAGATTTAATAGATGATATGTGTAGCAACGCCTCAACAAAATTACCCGAAAGTGAAATGACAGATTATGATAGTAATTAATAATATTAATGTATGTTAATATTATCAATTTAAAATAATGAATAATTACATAATTGAACAGGTAATTTATATATTAA